TTCAATAATTTTTTACAATGTTATTCAAGTCAAACTTTATTGTTTAAAATAATTTGTTCTATATAGTGTACAGCTATAACCTTATTAATATAATTGTTGTAGTATAATTTGGTATGTAAACAAAGAAACAATATGTAAAATCACAAAATATATTTATTACAATAGGTAAGATATGACTTTTATACTAAAATTTTAATATCGATACATTTATTTGTAAATATCAATAAAAACAAGTATAAAATAAATAAGATAGATTATTTATCTTCTTTGTTAACTGAACAAAACAAATAAAATTATATCTACTTACTTGCAATAAATGTCAAATAAATTCTAATGATTTTAAACATAATGGGAAGTAAAATTAAGCATAAATTGATTACATTTTAACGTGAATAAAGAAGATGCATCTTAAAATTGAAATTAGTTTTTCTAAAATTTTAAAGTAAATGCATATAAATAAAAGTAAAGGATTGTATCATTTATTGCAAAATAGAAAAACTCAAAATTTACTTCATTTTATAAAATATTTTAAAGTAATCTATATCCCTTAAACAAATTATGTAAAATTGAAATTATAGTTTAAGGTTGAAATATTTTAAAGTAATGAGCCTAACCTGATTAAGATAATTAAATAAAATGTTGATATTAAAAAGATAACATTTTTAATTTTAACGTAAACAATAAGAATAAGGATAAAAATAAGTAACATTTAGCATAAAATGGGTTAAAATAGATATTACTAATACTGTTTACTCATTAACCTATTTAATTATTTTTATTTTTTTAAAATTAGCATAATACTCAAAAAAAATTTAGACTATTCAAAAAAATTCAAATAAGCTCTTATTGTTCTATTATGTTCAATCAAGCATTTGTACTTTTAATTTGAATCAAATAAACTCTTATTATTAATAATTGACTAATTATCATTAATTAAAATATTATCACTTGTTATTTTATATTCACATGATATTAACGAATTATTGATGTAAAGAGTAAAAAATATCATATAACTATATCATTATATCACATCCTTATATATAATAATATGTCAACACGCAATATTAATATTACATGAAATAAAATGACGAGTAATATTTTAATTAAGTTAATAATTAATTATAAAAATTTATTGAGTTTAAAAATAAAAATACAAGTGTCTATTTAACTCAAAATAACAACATAATAATTTGATTAAATATAATAAAAAATTCTATTTAAAATTTTTTAAATAATTTAGGAAAAATTTTCTAATATTATATTCCTTTTGCAATTTTATCATTTCACTTTAACGTGAGCAAACCGTGGTTGACCAGTGCACGTTTTATAACACTTTTTGGTGAAAATATAAGAAAAAGTATGTATTAATTATCATTTATACTGCAATTATGGCAATTTGGGACATTAGTGAAATTGGTAAATGGATTTGAACAATGTCGTCAGAAATACACGGTTATCAATGTTGGCTTAAATGCACAAGTACTCAGCAAACCTTAACCTCCTTGCAAGGTATAAAAGAAACACAAGAAGAGTAAAATGTTCATGAAACTTCTAAACAAGGTAGACAAAACATCACTATGATAGCTATCTTCAATCTAGACTGGTTTCCTATTATTTTTCTCTTCTTCCTCCTCCAAATGCTCACCATGGTACTTTTAAGAAACAAGAGAGGAAACAGAAGTGCTAAACTCCCTCCTGGCCCTCCAAGACTCCCCATCATAGGTAACCTACATCAACTAGGGAATTTGCCTCATCACTCTCTTCACAAAATTTCTCAAAAATATGGTCCAATCATGTTGTTGATGTTAGGCAGCACGCCCACCATTATTATCTCATCAGCTAAAATGGCTCAAGAGGTTATGAAAACTCACGACCTTGATTGTTGCAGCCGGCCTCTCTCTCCTGGGCCAAGGAGATTATCATACAACCATTTAGATGTGGCATTTGCACCATACAGCGATTATTGGAGAGAGATGCGCAAGCTCTTCATTTTTGAGCTTTTAAGCATGAAAAGGGTGCAGTCTTTTGGGTATGTCAGGGAGGCTGAGGTTGATAAGTTGATTACATCCTTATCTGAAGCATTCCCGAACCCTATCAATCTCAATGAAAAGATCTTTACTCTTGGAGATGGTATCATTGGCACGGTTGCCTTTGGTAAGATATATGCAACTAAACAGTTTAAGAATGAAGCATTTCAGCATGTTCTTGATGAGGCCATGAATATGTTGGCCAGTTTTTCGGCGGAGGATTTTTTCCCAACAATAGGTCGATTCATAGACTATTCGACAGGGCTTAAAACCAGGCGTGAGCGGATCTTTAAAGAACTTGATGCTTACTTTGAAATGGTGCTCAACCAACACCTTGATCCAAATAGACCTCAGCCAGAGCATGAAGATTTCGTTGATATCTTGGTTCAATTGTTAAAAGATCAAAGTTTTGGTCTCACAAAAGACCATGTCAAGGCAATTCTCCTGGTAAGTTTCAATGCTTTCCTTTTCCTATTGTCATATCTTTTATTTCTGTCAATTCATTATGATGCATGCTATACAAATTGGAGACTTGAAAGAGGTCAGACAATGAGTTTAAAATTATGTGATTTAGAGATAAAACATTTGTACTAACACCCGTGAGCAAGAAATATTCCTCAATTTGACTTCCAAACGATTCAATTGCCTTTCAGATTTACCAAAACTAGCTAGAAAGCACAAGATGCAACTCTTGCACATTTTTATGATGCAATCAATTTATTAATTATGCAAAATATTGATTAAGATTCTGATGTTATTTCATAATTACATATTTCTATGTGCCTTTTTCCTCGACAGCAATCAACTTTGTCGCTTAAAACTATTCCGTTTTCTTTTCTTTTCAGGATACTTTTGTTGGTGGCATAGACACTAGTGCTATCACAATGTTGTGGGCAATGTCAGAACTAATTAAGAACCCTAGAGTCATGAAGAAAGTGCAGATTGAAATCAGAAACACCGTTGGGAAAAAGGCAAAAGTGGATGGAGAAAGTGTTGCAAATCTTAACTACCTAAAAATGGTAGTGAAAGAAACTTTCAGACTGCACCCACCAGCTACCTTGTTAATCCCTCGAGAAACGATGCGTCATTGTGAAATTGGTGGGTATGATATTTTTCCTCAAACAAGAATCATGGTTAATGCTTGGGCTATTGGTAGAGACCCTGATAGTTGGGAAAACCCCAAGGAGTTTCACCCTGAAAGATTTGAGGAGAAAGACATTGATTTCAGAGGCGCACACTTTGAGTTGGTGCCTTTCGGAGCTGGTCGACGAATTTGTCCTGGTCTAGCCATGGGAGCTACAAATATTGAGTTCACTCTAGCCAATTTGCTGTATTGTTTTGATTGGGAAGTGCCCTGTGGGATGAGAATAGAAGATATTAGCATGGAAGAAGAGGGTGGACTTACATGTCACAGGAAGACACCCCTTAATCTTATACCAATTAGATACAATTCTCACGAGTAAAACGAATAATATTAGGCTTTTAAGATAATTTAGTAATGTCTTTCCCTTAGTAACCATAGCATATTCTCGTCCAAGAAAAATGAGTGTGTACTTATGTTGCAGTTGCTAACTTTAAAAGGTTTAAATTAATGCTCTAAACTAAAGTTATATTTCTTTTGTTTTTGTTAATAATAAATGTTAAAAATTAATTAACAACCATCACTAACCTTAGCATTAGAATCAAACTGACATAAAAATGAATTGATTATCATAATTTTGGATTCATATACGTCATAAACAATTCACTATTACACCAATTAAAGGTGTCAATGGGATCAAATTCACTAATAAATAATTATCAATGACTCAGATTTTATACCCTTAGAATCAAATATTTAAATTCATATTTAGTTGGTAACATTGAAATTGAAGAGCATACTAATATATACCATTCATTTGAACTTTAACTTGAAATTTCAATTCAAAGATACATTTAACTTTCAGAATGAAATGTATGCTGACATAGCAAAATGTTAACTCCTTATTATGTAGTCCTAAGGTTCTGGACTTGTTCTATTTACGCGAATAAGTAAAGCTATATTAGCTTGACCAACCATTAAAATAATATATAATCCATAGTCTTGACTATTATTCAGCAAAACCTTTACTAATTATTATATCGAATGGAATCATTAAAGACTTTTTAATATCCCATTACTCCTAATAAGTACTCTCTATATTCCTACCCATGTTATCAATTTTGCTTTTAAAGATTATCCCAATCAAAATGTCACTTTTCAACATCTTACTATTTTAGCTTCTGTCATGAGTACTTAATGAAACCAATGGACCTATTTTAGCTTTTAAAGTTTCCTATATTTTCCTTATTCTATTTGGACTCCTTAAATTTCATGAAAAATCAGTAAGTGACAAATTAACCATATGAATTGGCAAAGGGAGTAAATAACAATATTTCAAAATTAAAAATATATACTACAAAAATGTTATTTTTTGGCCGATACAAAAATTTTAAGCTTAATTGCTTGAAAAATGAAAAAAAAGAAGCTATTATCTATATATTCATAATAGTATCTTTCATCTTTAGTAGCTCTTATCTAAATGAATCATATATTCCACTTTATGCACATTCTTTTGATACCACTTACACTTGAAATGCTAGTGAAGTGCGGTGGTGTAAATTGAATTAGTAAACATATATATGTTGCAATGTATTCCTCTCAGCCCAAGGTTTATACTTAGTTTTGAACATAATAGTGCTAAGGACCTAACTGTTAGCTAGCCCAATTAGAGATTAAGGGGTTTGCTTTAACCTAGGTACAAAAACATTTGTTCTTAAACGCAAAGAAAATTATATTTTTATACGTAAAAGAATGCATAATAATATTTAAGTCTCAAATGTCAAAAATAAAAGTCTAACTATTAATTAACAAAAATATTAAAGTCGATCTATTAATTGAAGACAAGAAGCAATTCAAAAGAAGGCTAGCTGAGCACGATCCTGCCCTTCTTCCTAGCTACCTGTATGCTCTTCTTCATTGGTTACAGAAGGAGATACAACATTTGAATTGATGTCCAATAAACGTAGGCTTTCATTGTAAGAATCTAGAAAACGATAATCTTGATCCCCAATAATCCGAAGTAACGAAATCTGTTTGCTCTCAGTCTCAGGTTCATATAAGATAACCTCTCCGTCATCAATTTCCAGCAGCAGCTCACCATTGCTTCTAAAACTCAATAACCTTGACACATTGTGAGGCATATTAATTTCCAGATCAACAACCAAGTTTTCAGTCCAGGACTCGGCAACACCATACTCTTTCATCACCCAAATAGACAAATATTTCTTGTTAAAAAAGTGGAGCAGTGTAATGGAGTCCTGAAATGCAGAAACATGTATTTCTTGTGGACTGTATCCGTGGGCTAAACTCCGAGGTAATATCATCTCATGGAATGCCTCATCATTCATACCCAAGGACAAAATCATATGGTAGTAGCTTAAACTGTTATTGCCTTCCCTACGAGAGGCCAACCAATGAACAGCTCCCTTGACAAAAGGCTGCGTCCAGTTGATCTCAATCATCTTACATGCAGGAGCACGCTCAGATATGTCTTTCCAAGAGCCTGCATTCAAAGAGTAAATTCGAACCACAGGCGAAACAGGTACTCTGTGTGCAAATTGCACAATACTCACCGCTTTATAGTCATTGGTGCCAGAATCGAAGCCAAAACCATTACTAATAAAGCATGAGCCAAAGTAGTTGTCAGGTTCAGTGAAGGTCACAGATTTTCTAATCAAGGGGTTCCATATAATGAAAACAAAGCCACCAAAGCGTTGGCGGGCTGTAAGGCAAATCAATCCATGGCAACAACCGATTAGTCGGCAGTGCGAAAATGAGGAATCCAGGTCTTGAACTTTAATGACTGTTTCTTTTGTGGTCGTGTGGATTTCGTAGTTTCTTTGTGGACCGTAACTAAGTAAGAGCAGAGCTCTATTTTTGGTAGCAACGATGGATTGGGAAAGGTGGGCAGCTATAAAAGTCGAGCTTTTGATGAAAGAGTTGCATGATTTGCAAACGCACCTGAATCTTAGAAGGGATTTGACGGGTAGTCTTGTGAATATATTTTCCACAATTTCGAGAGGCAGCTTCTCTTTCATATTGTTTCAAGTGAAATCTTTAGCTCTTTGCTTTACACTATTTCTGTGTTGTGATACAGGCCATTCTAGATTGAGCTGAAAACATCGGAGACACGTGAATCTGAAGCTGGTCCTGAGTTTTTTCTGGAGGATAATTTGGATAGGGTATGGACTTGACTTGACTTCAATAAATTAAGCCAAGGAGAAGGCAAACATATGTAGCTAGGAGGTTAGGAAACGAAGCCTCGTTAATATCGTCGCTGGCGTCTCGAGTGTATCAACTTCCTCGATTAATTATTCCAAACACAGTATTCGAAACTGATAGGTGAGTAAAGAAACGTGCGAGTGATTTCACATTTGAGAGTGATCAAAGCAAGCCTACTCAGTTTTGCGAGCCAGATAAGCCGATACCCAGTTCCCATTTTGGCATTGTTGACAGGTCCCAACTGCAATCAAGTTCTGTAACCATATAAATGCATGTTTTACAGTTATCAGAACACAATCGTCTAATTTCCAAATGCTCCCTTTGAATAAACTTAACATTTTCTAGATAGCTACTTGATTCTGTTAGTTACTTGACGTTAACCCCCAGGAAGAAATTGGTAATGCTCTTGCTATTAACTTCATTATTAAGCTGGGAATCGTCCTCTTCCAGTAATTAGTAAGGGAGCGGCCTGCTTACGTCCCATTGAAGTCAATTTGAATAATCTTCTGCATTGGTTGTAGCACCGGCAGAGGCTCTTGTTCCTTGTGCCCAGCTCAATGTCATGGCAAAGGCGTCCAAGGCGTCTCATCACATCTCAGGATTTAAAGAGTTTCCCCATCGAAGGAGCAGAACATAGACAGATTGCTGTCACTCAGAACGAGAAAACAGTTACTTGAAACCCTCCTTAATGCCGAACTTGTATATATATATATATATATCTCAAGATCTCCACAACTATCACTTGCTTTTACCAAGGAGAGTGACCACAAACTCAATGATGCAAGAGCTGGAAACAGCAAAGGGATGTCGTAGGATGAATTTCAGACAGGACTTTATTAGGATTATTAGGTGCTAATTGCTAGGTTGCTAGCAAGGTAGAAAATGTGAAAACATATCAAGGTGGTGGCAGGATGGTTCTTTCCAGATCCAATGTAAACCTCATTGGAAATAGAACGAGATATATATAAAGAAAACTAACCAAGAAAAATAATAGAAAAAAGCCTGCATTTACATTAGTGAAGTGTTGCATCTTTTGGCAAGTAAAGCAACTGAAGATTTCACCACGTATGCTTGCCCAAAGAGATGTCACCATGAATTCCCTGATATTACTTATTTGTGAACATACCCAAAGACCATTCACAAATGCCTTCAATTGAGTGCGGTCAATAAAGATCATTCACAAAAGAACACCTCAAGGGATACTTGAAAGTTGAAGATATATTGAAGGACAATAAGAGTGGTCAACGTATTCATACAGCATATGCTATCTGCACCACGTTTTGGCTTCCCTAATGCAGTTATCAATTTGTCATGCTAACCAAAAATAAATGTAGCTTCTCAAAAAGTGTTTTCACCTCCAGACATACAGAAAATTTTTCTCTTCGGCAAAAAGTATCATAGAAGATACATCAACTAAATCCAAATAATCTATTTCCCCAGATAGGTCCAAGGATACAATATTTGGACATGAGATTTCAAGCCTTTGACGCTCATACCAAATTTTAACTGCCAAACTCTTAATACCAGGATTCCTAAAAGGCAGTCTGCTAAGACCGTGACAATCTAGCAAAGACAATTCTCCAAGCACAGAGCACCCAGATAAGATTCGATCCATTATGTTGTCATCCAGAGAACCTGGTCTACCAACAACTTTTTAAGTGACCTGAGTTGAATCTGCCTCTGGAATTGATCTCACAAGCGGTTAATTTCAGTTCCCTTAAACATTCACCTCTTGAGAAAACATACTTAGGTAATCTATAACTAGCATTAGGCTCAGCGAGACCACATCCAACAAAATCAAGGTGAAGAACTGTGACATTTTTCCTGATTGCAGAAAGAACCCAAGTAGTTACTGCATCTGCCATCCTCTTTCCTTAACAACAAACTCTTGATGATCAGGATTGGAACATGTACCCTCATCCATTTTATGACAAAAGTTAAGCTCTAGGTCGAGATGGAACTTATCGATAGTGTTACTCTGATGAAGAAGCAAGAGATAATAGAGAAAATCCAAGAAATTCTCATTGTATTCAGGACCATGGTCATATGCTCTAGTTTTACAGTTCTGGTATGAACAAAAATTGAATGAAAGGGTAGGGAGAAAAGCCCAAAGATGCCCGAATCTAGGAGCGATAAGAGCTGTTCTCACAGCATCTTTTGCTGGGAGAAAAGAAAGGATATGAAGAAGCAGAGACTCGGGCAGACTACTAATGCGGTCAATATCATCCGTTCCATCCATAACAACCTAATTGCAGAAAACCAAAAGGAACCAACAAAACAACTCAAAACAGGAAAAAGAATTGCAGAAGAGAAGATCAAGTTTAACCCAGATTACCTTCACAGGAACAAGAGAATGAGGCAGCAACGGAATGAAAGAAGAGATTTGAAAATGAAACCTATGTTGGAACTTCACTTGCCTGCTTTAGTCTGCATTTTATGTTCTGTATTTATACCAAAAACTAAAAAGACGCTTTACGCTTTATTTAAAAAACAAAACAAAAACCATCTCTTGTTTAAAAACAAAAATAAAAGAAAAAGACCCATTTCCATATTCCCCGCCAACCCCATAAGTCTACCTTGATTCGACTTTGACTATTGACATGAGCTTTTCAAATCGTTTCTTCTAGAAAAATCTACCGTGACCAAGCTTCTGAAAAAGTGTTTATGACCTCCCGGTATCTCTTAAGTGCACATTTGAAACCAAAACTGAAGAAGACGGAGGAAACAGCAAGAGAAGAAACATCCTCTATGTCTATTGACCCAGGTAGGCACAATGATACAAGACCTGGAGTCTGGACGTGAAATCTGTACCCTCTCACACTGGTTGCTCCAGTATGATCAAGTATCAAACTCTTAGCACTAGAATTCCTAAAACCCAAATTGCGTAGACCATAACAGCTTATCAAAGATAATTATTCAAGCACAGACCACCCACGTAAGATTTGGTTCATCTTCTCACCTTTCAAAACAATTTCTTTCCGAAGCAACCGTTTCAGGCAATTCAATTGGATCTGAATCCGTGAAGTAATTTTAATAATTTTAATGTGGCATTTTTTAATTAATTAATTCGTCTGAATTCTCCAAACCAGCTCTCGGTCCAAATCACAATGGGGCCATTTTTATGTTTCAGCACACCATCACAAGTCACTCTTTCATTGAGTTTAATTAACTCTTTGAGTTTGGACTTTTAATTTTTTAAAAATTTTAATTAAATGTTTTGTCTGTAGTAAATCAAAATTTTTATTTTTCCAGATAATGGACAACCCTATTCAGTATGGCTTTACCGTTTTATAGTGATCTAATTGTTATGTCTCAAAGTTTAAAAGCAAAGACTCATATGCAACCTTCTACTACAACTTTATTTCATTTATTCAGCAAATACTATAACAAAGTTGTGTTCTTCGGAGCAATGCATGTTTATCCGATTGTATTAATTCATTTATGAGAGGTTAGCCAATTGCATTTACAAAGAGAGGAATTTATGGCAATCAATAGAAATACCACATACTACTAAAAAAATAAAGACAAAACAAAACAATCCTATTCCATTTGAGTGAATGAATATTATTAATATATTTATTTTTTTATAACTAAAGAAAAAATATTCAAATTTTAGTTTTTAAAAAAAAATTCATACATCCTCAAGTGCATGTATAATAGATATATGATTGGTTACAGTCAGTCGAAGAGTTCTGCTCAAGAATAGAAATAGCCTCCACTAGTTTCTACATCCCTTCATCCATATTCTCTATGCAGCCAAAATGAAAAAGTTTGCAGGGCAAGATGTTTACATAAATACATGACATATCAAGATTCAAAGGGCCCCTCCTCCAGGCTTCTGCAACCACTTCCAAACTGTCAACAACCCATTTCCATCCCCTGTGAAGAAAAGGGGAAAAGGGCCTCTCTGAATCACTCTAACTTCTTGTTTTGAATATAACCTGCCTCTCTCAGTAAACCTAGGACACACACAAGACAAATTTTCATTAACCAGTATCCAAAAGGAACTTGTGGAGATAACAAAGCTTTTAACCAACATAACAGAAACACGAAGAAATATACTCACGACGGCAAGTCATACAGGCGAACAGTGTTGTCATTGCAGGAGCAGAACAAAACTGGTTTAGTTTCTGCATCATTCATGCCACAAAGTGCTAGCACGCCCTGCATGCAAAAACAGTTCATATTAGCTCATGCTCGATGACAAATCCATTTTCACCATTACTGCAAACATATGTCTAACCTTAGATTAAACAAACATAACAGAGAAATGCATGCCATGCATTTATGGAGACTATAAACTGAATTGATTAATGAAAGCAACATGAAATTCAAGCATTTTTCCCTATCATTTACTAGCAGTAAACCAGAAGCACTTCTTTAAATATCATAATAGGATAAAAATATGGCCAATCAATGGGACACCTCTGTCTTGCAAAATTATGGTGCTATCATAACCATTCAATATTTTGAAATCAATGAGGAACACTATCTATAGTACTAATTTTTGGTATCTTGTTGCTGTTTGTATTTCATTCCATATGCTTTTCTTAGTTCTGGTGGGTAAACTAGAGTCGTCTCCACTGCAAATTGCTCCTCTCAGCCTCATGGGTCACGACCCACCTCAGAAGTTCAGAGCTTCAGACAAAATGCTAATCCTTACAATACAGAACTCATTATTTTAACAAGCTAAGCCTACACAATGACAATACATGTACCCCCACCCCACCTCTTCTCTCTTTCCAAGAGAAAAATATAAGTTCATATTATTTGCCTGCTAATGTGGAAGGCTTTCCCATAACTTGGTAAATTGAGTTTATAATTACCGTGCCTCAAAGGTTCCTTGCCTCTCCTAGCAGTTTATCAATTGCACAGCACTCTGAATATAACAACATTCAATCACCTAGATGAGAAGTGATTGTTTTCCTTGTTCCTAGCTCCTCAATAACACTGTGCCTGTCAGACATGTTTAGTGTGATGCTCTTCATCCATTACTAACCATGATTGTAAATACAGATATAAAAGTCAAGCAATAAACACACTGGTAATGGTTCTAAATAAACAAATAGAAGTCAAGCATTAAACACAATTAGATTATATATCTAAATACATGAAGGATGTGTGACCAAAGAACATACATTTTCTTCCTTATGAGTATAGATCACTTCCCAATTTTCTCCTTCTGTAGCAAACCAAACTTTTATAGTGCAGTCCAGTGAACATGAGAACAAACACCCATTACAGTAAAGAAGAGACATCACAGCATCCTCATGTCCATTCAATGTCTTAATGCACTGTAATGTGTCCATGTCCCAGACCTGGTCAAGAGAAAGAAATAGTACATAATAAAACAGCAATAGCAAACTAATTTAAATATTGCTTAAATAGCATAAGCCAATGGAGCTGTGCAGCAAGTCACTTAGTTCTAAAAGAATGATGATTTATTTACTGTCAAAAGGACTTAAATATTGATTTCAATTTGCAAACATAAATATAGAAAGCACCAGGTTTTAGCAAATCAGCTCACCCTTATAGTGTGATCCACAGAACCAGAATATAACTTTTTTTCTCTAACAGTTAAACATAATACAGCACCGGAATGAGCCTCCATGGATGCAACTAGTTGAAAAGGATTGGCCTCAGAACTGCCTTTCCACGCAAAAATAACACCATTCTGCAACCACCCAAAAGAATAAGTAACTCATCTTAAACCAAAGAAATTCAAGATCTAAGACTGTGAAAAAGAATGATCAAGAAATATGGATCAGAATCAGGCCATCACCTGTGCCCCAGCAAAAAGCATGGTATTAGCAACAACCATAGAATATACTTGTCCAACAGGCCCTTTTAGACTCAATTCATCCGCTGTTTGAATATTCCATAACTACAAGATCATCAAGATGCCCCTAATTAGTCTAACCTGTCACAAACTAAACAGTACATGAAAAGGATTTTAGATCTAACCAAAGATAATTATCATCTATTAGCTAACCTTAACAACACCTTTCATACCAATGAACACCCATGGGCCCTCACTAATCAAAGAACCAACTTCATCACCAAGATTACTCAAATGAACACACTTTCCAGAGTGGCAGTCCCATGTCCGTACAGTTCCATCACTACTGCCAGAATAGAGCTTCTCAGACTCTAGAGGAAGAGCAATTCCATGAACAGCCTATAATATAGAAAAACATGATATATTAGATAAAATCATAAAATTTTTCTTTGTTCTGTATATACTCCAAATTACAGACAATAACCACCTTCTTGTGGCCCTCCAGCTTTGCCAACATCGTGAATCCATCCCCACAATACCATGAATGCAAATACCAGCATTTATCGCCTCTGGCACAGTAGCCTGACATCCAGTACTTGCAAACCTTATTTTCTTTCTCTCGGGCCTTTATAGTCGAAACACATGAATTCTTAGGACGATGACTGGAGCTCTTTCCTAATAGATCTTCTGATGTAGCATGGTATGGCTTGGCATTTCTATGGTAATCATTGATGTTTACTGCTTCTCCTTTATGTCGAACAGAAAGTCTTTCTACACTGTCATCATCATATCTTCTTGCTGCTCGTCTAATTCCCATGCTATAGACAAAAGATGTATACAAATCAATTACAGTTTCTTCTGAAGATGATCCAAACACCAATTTGATTCCTTCAAATTATATCCAAACTTAGAACAGATTTCAAATCAGGTAAAATCCACAAGCTTTGGCAAGGTCAATCTTGCGAAGAAGATCCAAAAAATATCAAATCAACTCCTTTGAAGAAGGTCCAAACTAGAAATAATGATTCACAAACAGTCCGCAGTCTCCTGTGCATTTCATTCAATCTGTTGCAGGACAAAATAAGTATCTCCAATACAGAGAACACAAGCCCACAGACCAAAGCCTCGAATTCCACCAAAATCCAATTGCTCAGCAAGCCATAGATAACCATAATTAAATCCTAAACAAACACTAAACTCTGGGAATCTCATATTTGCACATAATCAAAAAGTAGTAAGTCCAAAATTACAGACAGCTGGATATTTTTTGAAATCGACCAGGAGCCAACCAAAAATAGCAGCCGATCTCCAAAATCAAGAAACAAAGTAGAGAATATTATTCTTCCAGCATACTCTTTTTTGCGTTCTCACCAAAAAAAAAAAACCCTAAGGCCTAAACATGTTTTTTCAAGGTATATCCGAAATAGAATAAATACTACAAAAATTTAATTCCATGTTATAGATTTTCCCTTTTCACCAATACCAAAGCCCTCGACTTTCAATTTTCTGGTCCTTGAAATTCCAGGAAAAATCCAATCATCAAAAGCCCACTTTCATGAGCAATCCTTGAATAACCCTAATTAAAACCTAAACCTAAGTATCAGATAAGTGAAGATAACCGCGACGGAGCAATTCCAGAAACAGAGAAAGCTTCCGAATTATCGAAAAGTGGGCGAGAAGAAACACGAGAAATCTAATGGCAGGAGAGGAAGCGTAGGTAGGAGAAAACGAGCTGAAATCGATCATCATCATTATCTTCTGAAATGATTTCTAAGGAAACGAGGAGAAAGCAAACCTGAGACTTAGATATAATTGGATTTCAGCAATCTTGCAAAAACAACTGCGGGAACCGTTGAAGGAAAGCACAAGGCGGAGCTTGGATTTGTTACTGAGCGGAATGAGATTGAAATATTAGGTGGATTCAGATGCTAATTGATATTATCAATGAGGGCGTTTCAGGGGTAGGCCTTATGAGTCTATATGAACAAGCGGGAGCGGGTAAGGGTAACAATAACAGAGTCAGTGTTCAATCACGCAATTGCCGTGATTAACAATTAACAATTTTTTGAACAAAAAAATTAAATAAATAATAAGTACATCCTTTACTTTTTATTTATCCCTTTTCAAGTTAATATTAAATTCCTAATTAAAGAAAAATATTAATTAAGGGATTATCTTTTTTTTTATTAAAGCAAATATTGATAAATATTTATAAATTTGCTTATTTATATGAAATTCCTTATTGAAGTTCAAAGATGAGTTCATGCTGTATCACTTTACTAGTATAAACTTTTGCTATGCTATGTAAATAAAAGTAAAGTATCAATACTTTTATATCATGTGCTTAAATATTTAATTTATTAATTGATGTATGATTTTTTTTATTTATAAAATAAGATTGGAATTTCTTTTTTAATTTAAAAACAAAACAAAACATTTTTGTAGGATAGTCAATTTCTATAATTTATATTTAACTGGTAATTCGTTATAAAATAGTCAAATATTTAATTATTATTTATATTTTGACAGAATCAGCATTTCAGTGAGCAAATAAATCATGCCAATTACAGAGGTATTTTCGGTGCTAATGAACAAACGTCCATATAATATAAGGCTAAAACACTCACAATTGCACAATCTTAGGTGTGTGATTTGGCTGGCCTCCCCATTCACATCCACAAAGCTGTCACCCAGTGGCACCACAGAAGCTATCTGCAATCATCCGAAATGGATGCCTAGTATCCATCTAAAGCCTCAGCTATGCCTTCGTCATCATCTGCGAGGTGATGCCTAATAACTCTCCTCTGTTCATCCAACATGTAATAGGCTTTAAATTCAGAGCTGGAAAAGGTCTCCAAATCTGTGATTTCACATTCTTCAGCCTTTGGCTTGCAGATCTAGTTTAAAAACCAATTATATGTTTCTTTTTTTTTTATTGCTAAAAAAAAGCTATGTTGATTGATCTATACTTTGTGAAGTATTAATTTTTCACAATTTTTTTTAAAGGAAAAAATGACTGATATTAAAACTTTTCTGGTGCAAATATAAAATAGAGCATCAATGCTTTTATGTTGTTTGTTTTATGATCAACTTCTGTTTTTCTTTAATTGATGATCCATTATTAATTATTAAATTAAAATTCGAGTCATTGGATCATGATCTAAAATAAAAATTTTCTCTCCTTTAAGTGAAGACACACTGCATTGAATCTATCACTAGGATTCCTGGTAACTTGACTTTAAAATGACAAGCTCAAGCTTAAATGATTTGAAAGAGTTGTCTGTCTCAGACGGAGTACAAGACCGTTTAGGAAATATTAGCACACACAAAGTGCAACTGGCATTGGCTGATGTGAATGGATTGCTTCTCAGCTCAGGCAAGTTGTTTAACTGATGATAATACAATCCAATTCATGCTGCAGCAGGGGATTTTGCCTGCGCAATGGACAATAATTCAAGCACAAGAAGTTTACAGAAGCAAAACACAACTGTCTAATGATACAAACATAACCCGCTAATGCCACAACAATGTTGGCAGTCCTGTTCTCACACTTCCTACATTCTCGTCTGGATTAACATTCAACATCTGGTTTACCTAGGACCTGATAATATTGAGGGTAATGCTATAGACATGGTACCCGCTCTGCTGCATGGAGCTGCAGGTGCTTGCGGATTGACAAAATCGTAAATTAAATTGGGTTTAACATCCATGAAACCTTCCAAAACACGTAATACATCTGTCATGGAAGGCCTTCTAGTATAATCAACTTGCAAACACCATGCTGCAATCCCCATCATCTTCACAACCTCTGCTTCGTTCGGCTGCATGTCTTCGCTCATCTTATCAACCAGATCCAAAAACTTCCCCTCCTGCGCCTTTTTCCTAAAGAGATTTAGTAAGTGCATCTCTTCTTCCGGCTGAGATCTATCCACATTTCTCCTACCACACAAGATCTCCAAGACCACAATGCCAAAGCTGTAAACATCTACTTTCTCCGTGATGACAGCACTTGACCATTCAGGAGCCATGTAACCTGGTGTGCCTCTCATTGTTGTGAAGGCTTTGTCTTGGTCCCTGGCAATAACTTTTGACAATCCGAAATCCGCAAGTTGTGCATTAAAATTTTCATCTAAAAGAATGTTTTGGGGTTTGATGTCTAAGTGTAAAATTTTCTGTGTCCAACCCTCGTGAAGATAGGCCAGTCCTCTGGCTATATCAAGGATGATTTTCTGCCTCAAATTCCAACTTAGACGGAGTTCTCTGTCTCTGGGAAAGATCCATTTATCCAGAGAACCATTGGGCATGTACTCATAAACGAGAAGCCAATGGGATTTCTCGGCACAAAACCCAATCAGTGTCACCAAATTAATATGATGAACACTTCCTAACGTCTCAACTTCAGCTAAAAGTGACTTTCTGAAGTGACCAGCGCCATCAAGACGCTTCACTGCTATTTTAGCACCGTTTGGCAGAGTTCCATAAAAAACAGAACCAAAACCCCCTTCACCAAGCTTCGCACTGAAATCCTGTGTCATGGCCTTCAAGTCTTCAAAAGAGAATCGAGTGAATCTCTTCCTAACGGCTTTTGATTCTTTTTTTTTATTTCCTCGCGAGGCATTCTTAACAGATTTAAGATCGATTTTTTTCCCTCGCAAGAAGAAGATGCCAACTACTAGAAGCAGGGTAAAAAGGACTCCAAGGGTTGATCCTAGTACAGCTGCTTTACGTCTTGATCCTTTTTCTGTAGCAAAGGGCGTGCTGGGCCCAGGTGCCGCAGGCGTGCTTCCTGTATGTTGCACTTTTATATATGAAAAACTGTTATAATCATTAATATTCTCCTCATCTCTTTTGAATGAAAATATTTTAGACAGAAGACAACAATACCCATTTGATGAATTCAGTTGCTGACGATATATTGCAGCTTTGCATGAACAATTCTGCAAACAGGCCTCCTTGCAATTTTCTCTATCTGTATTCTTGATATGAGGGATGAAATTGAAGTAATCATAGTCCTTTAGCTCAAGTAAGCTATGACTATGAAGATCAGAAGGCTTGCAAGAAACAGGTATATTTTCATGACACCCTTCAGATACCTGCCTGAAGTATAGTTCTGAATCATTGCCCTTTGCTTTTGGACAAGCGCAATTCCCAGCTGAACAAAGGCCATATTCTCCACACACCAAGGGGAAACCACATGCACCAGTGTAGTTAATCAAAAGATCAGATACTTGCTCCCATTTTGATTCTTTCAATTGATAAGCCCTCAAATGTCCATCACTCCCTAGTTGAATGAACTGTGCTGCAGATGTCGAAGGAAGCAGAAAACGATCAAAACTTCCATTCAAATATTGGACTTTGTTATTGCCCTGGTTCATGTGTTTCACCCTCAAGGGTCCAAGATAGACTTGTTGAGGATTTGGTTCAAGGAAAGCAATCAAACTATCATTTGTGAGAGCTAACGAGTATAAACCTGCACTTGAATTTGAAGTTGACACATTTGCGGTCAGCTTTTGCCCAGGAACTAATGCCTGCCCTGGAAGTAATGTGTCCGTCGGGTGATCAAAAGACTGCCAGACCGTCTCATTGTTTCTGTCGAAAAGCACAAGGTTTCCCTCTTCAGATAACTTTAATCCTGAAACAAATTTCCCCGTGGTGTTGGGGTTCCAAACTGGATTGCCATCAGCATCTCGAAGTATCAAATCCCCTTTCTCAGAGAGTTGCAGTGTAGCTCTAAGTTTAACAGGATTGTTTCGATTCGCAGACCACACTATTGTTGGAGAGATGCTAGGATCGCCATCAAGAGTATAGGCGTGGAAGATGGAGACAGCAAAAAGGCACTTGCCTTGTAAACTTTTGCAGTGGAAACCACAAACTAAAATTCCACTGGTAAGGATGGGCGTAACACCTGCGGAATCCCAGAAGCCAAAGTCAAACACAGGAGAGTTAATCCAAGAACTTGGATGATGAGCAACTGACGGATAGGCGATAACTTGTGCATTTATCAAACATGATGACGATGAGACGAGTAGAATTATTAGAAAGGCAGTAGCAGAACCAGTATTGTTTCCAATGACCATTGCTTCAGCTCCAGCCTCCCTCAAAGAATTCTTCATAACAAAATTGAAAGGATCAAATTACCAAGGCTGGTTTCCAAATAAGCAAGTGTTGCTAGTTGCTAAAAACCAAGTGTGAAGTTGAACTACTTGCAGTTCCAATACCCAAACAAAAGAAAAAGATAAGAAAGCTCCGATGAAAGGGAGAACAGAAAGCTTTGAGTTCATGTCTTAAAATATTTTCTGCTTTAATGGAATCAATTATGCATTTAGCAAAGAAAAGAGGATAACGATCATCGCGGTTACAATCACTCTTCACATCGCGTTTGTGGCCAGGACCACGGACGGAGAAAATTCAGAGAAAAGCAAATGCACTGATTGTTGAAGCCCCTTTCTGTTGGAAGAAAAAGAAGAGAAGTCCTTTTGAGAATATCATAGTAAAAGACATGGCTCTGATTCAATGATTTCTATTATTGATCAAAGTGTTTACTTTTGAGTGAAATTTGCATCATATATCTCCGCTCTGATATACAAAAGAAAAAGACAAGTCAGTTCATCCAAAACAATTAGTTTATTATTGAATTATGATTGTTACTCCTCGTTGAAAGTTGTAAAATAAACTTAAAAAATATTTATATTTAAACAAGATTATATTTCGAAATAAATGAAATAATTAATTATTATTTTTATCGTACGGAATTCTTAATGTAAATCCAACTCAATACTCATTAATCAATATAACTTCATAGGGGTGAGCATTGGTCGGTTCGATCGGTTTTCGATCGGTTTTGACGAAAAATCGACTAAATTTTTTTAGGATATAACCGACCGAACCGTCATAGTATAAAATCGGTTTCGGTCGGTTTTTGGTTAATGAATTAATGAGTTGACTTGTTGACGTGGGTAAAATTTTCAATTTTACCTTGAATTGAAGAATGGAAGACTGATAAGCAAAAGCAAGGGTGAAGGGAAATTAAGTCCTGGACTCGTAGTCACCGAGGGGGGGAGGAAATTTCTGGACTTGAGTGGGGGGGGGGGCGGAATCGGGACTCGTGGGAGGGGGCCGAGGGGAATCAGGTCGGGGGCCGGGGCAGTCTAGAGTTGAGACTGGGGAGGGGGCGCCGGCGGGAGAATCAAGTGAGTCGGGAGAGATTGGAGGGGGATTTGCTAGGTCGGCGGGTTGGGAGGAGAAATTAGGGTCAGCAGGAGTCGGGGCCTCGAGGGAAGTACTAGGGTCAGTACTAGAGCCGAGGCAGCGGGGGGGGACTCATGGGTCACCTTGAGTAGTCGATTTTTCGGTCGGTTCGAGGGGAAGGATTCCCCCGACGACCGAGCCGATTAGCCGACGAGGCCGATCGGCACAACCGACGGTTGCGGTCGTTGGGCGGTTCCAACCGACCGCTGCTCTCCCCTATAACTTCAGCTCGAATTAACAATTATTGTAAATTCAAAAGAAAAATAATTTTTATTAAAAATTATAAAAGACAATTCGTATGTAAAAATTAATTGAACTATTACTTTAAAATTATTTTGGAAGTCATATTTCATTCTCCTAAAGCAATAAAAATTTCTTAAAAGCCACCAATTTTTTCCATGAAGCGGACAAGTTAATATAGATCTTTTCGAGTCAACAACCAACCATCTGAATGAAATAATTGATCCAGGTGAAGGGCCAAGTCAATGGGTTGATCAGTCTGACTATCGAGCTGACCTGGAAGAATATTTTGTCCTTTCACCACATCACGTTGGTTTGCAAGCTTCAAAATGCAAGCCTAACAAGGGCTTTCCTTGCAGACATAAAAAAGCACTCACAATATCTAGCTACCTCCGCACCTGAGAAACATTACAAATCCCAAAATCCTTGGTCTGAAATTTCGTTTGAAGATATGATTTCAATGCTAATATTCTACCATCACTTGCAATAACTATATATATCATCTGTGAACCAAATAACAAATTTTACCCACATTTGTTTGTTGATCGAAGACCGAATTGCCTACGCTATCCCAATCCTTGTAAGACCCCATTCAGTAAAAAGTATACTAAACCTCCCAAACCATTCCCAGGGAGATTGTTTTTAACCCACACAGGCTTTTTTGAAAACGACATACAAACTCCCCGCGCAACTATTGTTAGCCTTAACAGGCTAATGAGAAATCATTCTTTTCTTCTAGAAGAAAAATAGTTGCAGGCTAACTATATTAAAAAATGTATAATGAAAATATAATTGCATCGCTCATAGAATGTCTCAAAAATATCAACAAATCAATACTCATTTGCCGCCTCAAAAGGCTCCCAAATTCAAATTAGGGCAAACTCTTATTCTTCATCCACACAAACATATCCTTTATTTTGGTGCCACATGCAGCAGGTCTAAGAGGAATGGCAAATCCAAAATATGAGTTTCATGATATTACACTCATAGTTATTTACATTCAGTGCAACAACAAAAAACATCTAGCGTGATGGGATTTCAATTCGGTCAAAAGTAAAATATCTTGAATTATAATCTACAACCTGATTTACTATGGCTTACCATAGCAATTTTTATCCACCATACTCAAGAATGTCATTTGAAATAATGACAATTGAATTGACATTACACTAGGCATGGGGAATCGTGTATTTATGAAAAATCGATCCCCCTACTGAAAACTTGAAAAATGTTTCATACAAGCCTGTTTTCCGCTTAATATGAACAGCAAAATGTCAAAAAATTGTTTGTGGCTTCTACTAATTTAGGAAACCTTACTGTTTCGCCACCAACTTTATGGAGGTAAACTACAATTGCAGTTCTCGACAAGCAAAGTAATAGAAGACTGAGAGCTGCATCTCCAGTAAAACCTGAATTTCAACTAGCTCTTAGTACATCTTAAAACATGTAGAGAAAATTGGTGAGAGAATTGAATTGATAAATGACATGAGACTTAAAGTCATGCATGGAAATATTTATGGTGAATCAAGAAATATTTGCATGGGTCAATTTATTCTATGAGGGCATTGTGGAGGCTTACTCGGTTCATTGGATGGGTATTATCTGATCTCTAAAGCTCTCAAGGGACATCATCTTGATCCTCCATCTCCTCAAGGATGACATACTTTGCTGCAGGATTAGTTGGGGATAACCCTGCCGTTTCACCTTCTTCTAGTTTACCCTTCCGCAGTTTTTGGTATCTGAACAAGGCATAACAAAAATGACATAGGCATTTTAGGTTAGCTTTAGCCATGGCAATAACCAGAAAGCAAAAAGAAACAAACTCAGGAATTACATCAATGAACTCTAAAACAGGTGAAGAAATAGATTGGACAGACACATCCTTGTTAAAATGTTATGACAAACTGGAAACAGTACGAAATAACTAATTGAAACAGCAATCAATAGTTCAGTTTCAATATAATTTCATATCCTCAATTGGACTCAACTGTTAAAACCTAGACATAACACCGCTCAATTGGCCACAAATCCAAGCATGCCCCTCTTCTTCCATGAACTATAGTTCAGAAGTTGTGATTCATTGAATAAAGAGAACGATATACTACTGTTTTTTGTGATTGACTACTACTGTTTTTTGTGATTCATGGTGTGAGTGGTGGACTCTGGTCTTTGAGATGTGCAGGAGATGCTGATGGGTTTTCTTTTGAAGAGCACCTATAGATTTGTGGATTTTGTGGCTCAGGGGCTCTTTTTTGATGCAGCACCTGGGGAATCTGGGAGTTATGGGGTAGGCTTGTTCTATGTGGCTACTCTATAGTTCTGTTAGGTTGGCTTGGTAGTGTAGAGTTGGAATGTTGTGTACAGTTTTTACGACCCTGCTCACCTGATATGTTTATGATGGTGGCGGGAATGCTTTTGTTTTTTGTTTCTGGAAAGGTATGGGGTGGGACTTTGTTGTTTTTCAGAGGAGGGTACTTGCAGGCTTTGTTGTTGATCAGTGATCGCTTTGGTTTGTAAGACCTTGGTGGCTGGTTCTGTGATGATTGGGACTGTCAACCCCAAATAGGTGAGTAACAGACCTTAATCAAGTTTGCTACTTCTCCCAGAGGTGAACTTTCGGTATCCTCTGCTCTGAAATAAACAACTTTCAAAAAAAAAAAAAAAAAGAGAACGATATACTAATCAAGGTGAGAATTAGCAAACATGAAAACCGTAGGGATTACTGAGAGAAATTGGAAATATATGCAATTAGGGTTTAAAATTGGTAAGATGTAGTTGAGTATAAATTTGAAATAGATACAATTAAGGTAAGAAAATTTGCAAACCAGATTAGGTGAAGTATATCAATTTCCCAATTACACAAGCAGGAGAAGAAGATAGCAAGTAGCCTCATTTAAGCTTCAGGAATCCTAAGAACAAGAAAGCCTCATCCTTTCTAGGGTTTGGAGCAGTAAATAGCTGTAACCCTCCTAATACCTCATTAAATGGTAACGAAAGTGATTACATAGCATACTACGTTCTCCATGACTATTCCCTAGAAGCAGCAAATCATCAGCACCAAAAATAAACTAGATGAATAAAATAAGGAACCAAACAAGTATTTGTGAAGTTTGAGATTGATAGTAACTATAAGAGAATAAAAAATGCTGAAGTTTGTACAAGTTAATTGGCCAAGTGTGCAAGTTAACTAATTAAGTCAGAAGTCATAGAAAACTAAGAGCAAGTTAATCAATTAGGTACACCAACTTACTTGATTAACTTAGTACACCAACAATCACAAAAAACAAATTCTGGCATTAATTAAAAGAATAAAAAAATGCAAAAATACTAAACGGAACTATAGAAATCTCCCTTCAAATGACATACAACATTCCTAAACCCTGGGCAAAGTTCAATAACTAGGGGTGTAGGGTTAAAAGTGCTAATCATTACTCTCTCTGTGGAAAACCATCTAATTCAATGCCTTCACTTAATAAAGAAATGACTCAATTATAAATAAAACCTCCAAAACATTAACTTCGGATAGGAACAGATGCTGAGTTCCAATATCTAACAGAAAAATAAGATCTGAAAACAATGAACTGGAAACATATACATATTCTTTTAGTTCAACAACACCAGAGAAAGTGTAGCCTTTTTGTAACACACAATCCAAGAAACATGGACCTTGTCTGCATTCAATATTTCAGTCACAAGCGATAAATAAAAATAAAATGTTAAAACTTCAGAAATTTTAAAGGAACATCACTATCCAAAAAATTTTGCAAGCCTCCAGCCAAAAGAAATGCATATTCATAACATAGATTTATCAGCCACTTACTTGTACCAGTTGAATAAACTGACTCCAACCATAATTGTGCATAGTCCAGCTCCTTTTAACCAGGTAAATTCATCATGGAAGTAAAATACTGCAACCTGAACAAGCATTAGAAAAAGAATCAGAAAAAAATTGCGAATAAATAGTAGGAAAGTGAACAACAGAGCACAATCAGCATTACTTGGCAAAACAAGAAGAAAATAACATTCTGCATGTTAGGCTGACACCCTATTAGCTCAAGAAGATTTCGTTGGATAGGATAAAGATGGATCAGTATTCTACTCCCAGTCCAAATACAAGCCAAAAGATTATTGGAAATTTAGTGAGACTTGGAACAAAGCCATTCAATATCCAAACCTAATCTAAGACCTGATTGTTAAAATGAAATCTGATAAACAATTTCCCCTCCTATGTCAACAGCCTCCCGCTCTCACACTTAATCTCTTCTACCATTCATTTACAAATCTTTTGCCTAAAATAATCAACTCATTGATCGCTGTCCATTTTGGTAATGTACTCCAGGATATAGTTGGAAGAACTTTGGATTACCACCAATGGCAGTTTGCTCTATCATTTAGTCATTCATTTTCTACTCTCTCTCTCTCTCTGCCTCTCTGTCTTTCTATAGTTCTCTTTCTCATTGAGCTAATTCCAAAGGCAGGCTCCACCAGAATCCCCTCATCATCACCTGCCTTGTTAGAGGACAAATTCCTACATATCATAAGTCCACAACCAGCAGTTTTATCTACAAACTAGACTATACCAATTGTAGAAGGCTTTGGATCAGGTATCCCAACCCAAACAAATGTCTTTCTTAGAAAGAATGTATATGTATTTCAGTTAGGGTGCATGGACTAATAAGTTCAGCTATGAATAGCCACACTTACTCTAAACTGTAGCGAGAAGCACACCCTTAATTAAGCTCATTGCATAAAAATTTCTGACTAGCCACACATCACAATTCACTTTCTCCCAATTGGCATTGACCGGTTGCAGAAAGGATTATATGAAAATATGAAATGGTTACTTCATGTCAACAAAAATCACTCATTAAAATTATGAGAGGTAATCCTACTTTTTAACAAGAACTTTTTTTAAACTCCAGATGTGGAGTCATTAAAGGCTGAAATAATATTTCACGAAGGTCAAACTGATAATATCCAAACTTAAAACAGGCTCTAAAAGTGAAATGTTAAAAACAAGATGTGTCATAATTTTAATGGAGTGATATTTGCTGGTGTGGAGTAACAATTTCATACCATCCTTTCTCAGAGGGTTGCTCATAAAATTAAGGTGGCAAAAGCAAACCCCATGCAAACATCTTGCCTGAAACCCAACCCAGTCCAACTTGAGTAGTAAATAGCCTAATACCTAAACCTGAAATGCCATTTAAATCCCATAAACTCATAACCCTAAAAAACCCAAATTTGATCCTAATCCAAAGTTAGGGTGTAAATCAACCAAGCCAAGCTGAGCCACGCTTCTCTTGTGAGAGCTTGACTAAATATTACCAAGCTTGAGCGCAAACTGAGCTCAAGAATGATTGATTGAACTCTGCTCGGGGTAAGCCATTTTGGCTCAAATTGAACCATGTAGCTCAATTTCACCATTTTTACTAACCTATTTAAAGTTCCAAAATGATGTCATAAAATAATAAAAAAACATAACAATACCCAATGACAAATGACCACTATCCCCAAGGAATTTAACTGCAGTATGCACAAGTAGATAATTACTGTTTATACTACCATTAGCTCCCAAATAATATTTTAAGATAAGAGGGCACTACAAACTTGGGATCACCAAGTCACAACTAAGAAGTCAGAAGGCCACATGCAAGCCTTCAGTAAAAGATTTTGCATAACCATTTAACAATATATACATATAGAAAGAAGCTTATATACCATTATGGTGACAGCCTCCTTCACAACTCCTGCTATTGTCACTGTAACTGCACTAGTTACAGAAACAAGAACGTACTCTGTTAAAACCTGGAACAAAAAGAAAAGCTTAGGTTCTTCAAACCACAAGACTTGTATTACAGCTGCATGAAGAGAAATGGAAAGCCTGCCATACAGTCCATAAGTGCTTCCAAAAATCTTCTTAAAAAAAAACAAACCTCACCCACCTTTCAAAGGATGAGACGCCAAAAATATTTAAAAAGGAAAATTAAAGAAAAAAGGAAAAGGATGCTTCAACATATATTCCTACCATAAAAAATGCCAGTGTTCCACCAAAAAGCATCAACAAGCAACTTCGAGCAATATGCCATGAATTATTAAAATAATTGTTCTTTCTGAATTCATGCCATGGATCCAAGAAGAGAGAAAGAATAGCTGTTGCAACTGCCATCACTGGAGTCACGTAGCTCATGAAGGTAAGTGGATTTTTCAAACCTGGATACAATTAAATAGAAATTACCTTAGAGCAATGCTTATAAAAATCAGAAGAACAAAGAAGAAAAAGAAGACCAGCTCATTTTAACAAAAGTGGTAAATTTTAGCAAAACCATTTGCAATCTATCACTATATATAAATTAAAATCCTCCATTTTCATAGATGTTAGAAAAGTTTTCTAGAATATTGTCATCAGAATTAAAATGAGAACTTCAAGATCACCCCTTATAAGATCACTAACAAAATAAGCTTTATAACTAAATTAAACTGAACAATAAAGCAACCACATATCATATGCATAAATCAATGGATTTAAGCATCTCTTACATATATGAGTTATCTGGAGAAAAGAATATTACTTACGATATAATGCGGTACACCTAGAGAACCTAATATTGCAGTATGCAAACTCCTCACTACATTACTGCTAATAAAAAATCTAGTGTTTAAGCAAACTGAAAGATATTTAATTCTTTGGGTTAATTATCCATTTAATACCCTGATTTACCTAAAGTTTAAAAATGTGCAATTAAGTACTTGAGCTTTGTTTTTGTTTACAGTTTGCACATGAGACTAACTTTGTTAGTTAAATCGGTGACATGTCTAGAATAAGAGAATAATAACATGCCACATGTCTAAAATGCCGTGTCATCTTTTGCTTTTTTATTTTAGATTTTTTTCATTTTTTTATCTTTGAAATTAAAAAATAAAAATTCGGAAAAAACAAAAAAGAACAGAAAAAATAGAAAAATAAGGGAGAGAGAAGAGAGAAATCAGGGGGAGAGAGGGAAGGGAAGAGAGAGAGATGAGAAGCGGGTAGCCGATGTCGATCCGGGCAAATCACCACCAGGCCACCCCTTCTCCTTTTCTCTCTTCTCTTCTCTTCCCTCTTCTTCACTCTCTTCCCTGATTTCCCTCTTCCTCTCTCCCCTTTTTTTTTCCCAAATCTTTTATAATGACATGATATTTTTAGACATTGCGCATTCTTATTGACTATTTATTTTCAAACATATCACCTATTTGACTAACAAAGTTAATCTCATATGCAAATTAACAAACAAAAGCAAAATTCGAGTACCTAATTGTGCATTTTTAAACTTTAGGTACCAAATTAAACATTTGAGTATTTGAGGTACCAAATGTATTAACTCTCATTCTTTCTTCGCCACAAGAACATCTGACACAAACTTAGTCATCCTCCAAAAATCAAATAGAGTACAGGTCATTTGGGAACAACCGTGAGAATGTTGTCTAAATCAAGAATGGATGATAATTATGTCACACAAAAATACTGATCCAAAACACCCCCCTCCCCTTCTCTCTCTCTCTCTATCTCTCTCTCTCTTCCCTCTTCTTCACTGTCTTTCCCCAATTTCCCTCTTTCTCTCTCTTTTTATGTTTATTCTTTTTGAATTTTTTTTATTTTCCAAATCTATTTTTTAATTCAAAATTAGAAAATGAAAAAGGAAAAATGACATGATATTTTTAGACACAATGCATTCATATTGACTATTTTCAAACATGTCACCCATTTGACTAACGAAGTTAATCTCATGTGCAAATAAATAAATCAAAGCAAAATTTGAGTACCTAATCTTGCATTTTTAAACTTTAGGTACCAAATTAAACATTTGATTATATTTGAGGTACCATATGTATTAACCTTCATTCTTTCTTCGCCACAAGAACATCTGACACAAACTTAGACACCCTCCAGAAAAATCAAATAGAGAACAAGTCTGTTGGCAATAACAACGAGAATGTTGTCTAAATCAAGAATGGATGATAATAATATTGCACAAACATACTGATCCGAAAACAAAGAAAAAAGCATGAAAACTACTTGGCAATATAATAAACCAACAGCGAAAGGGAAGAAATATGATTAACTAAAAAAATGAAGAAAGAGAGACCACCTACCATAGGCTTCTTTCTTTATATAGTATTCCGTTCCAGACACCGTTACCATTGAAATGTCAATTTGGAGGCAACAGATAAAACAATCAATGTAGTTAGTAAAGAGAAAAGAAAAATAATTTGAAAATTGGATCAAATAATTGAACTCTAATATATCATGTAAAGTACAAATGGATCAAAGCCATACCTGCAAAAGAATTTGAGTCATACACCAGCGAAATCCAGACATAACAGCAGCAAGCATGACAAAAACAAAACCCCAAAACTCAAACTCTGTCTCCTTTGCAACTGGAATAAAAAAAAGTCAAGTTTCATGAGTGTTACATTATTTGACATTGTAAAAGCTTGAGAAACACACTAAACAAATTTCAGAGAGAGAGAGAAGCAACAGCAACAGCAACACCAAAGGCTGTTACAACCTGCTGGAATATTAGACAAAATCACTGTAGAAAGTTCTTTGAGACAGATAATTTGGTTGATTAAGGCCCAATTTACCATTGAGAAGAGATTGCAACAGTGGTTAGACAGCGTGATTGTTAAAATTGATAATTGGTAATTCAATGACGGCGATTGGAAAGAGATACAATAACCATTAAGGGCATAATAAAATGGTGATTATTAATAAATTATATATTTCATGTTGTAGTTTATCTGATGTTTGAAATTATTAAAAATAATAATTCAATTAAATCAAATAACAAATTTTCTTGAAATACACAATATATTTATTCAATGATATAAAAATATATCATGTTTACAACATAAAAATAAAACGAAATAAGAAAAAAAAAAGATAAAAATAAATGGGTTTTAAAACTGATTTCAACATTTATATCATTAATTCACATTTTACATTATTGAGAATGTTCTTTCTTTTAAAGTTTTATGTTCCTTCATAACTAAATTATGAAATCATCATGTGTTTTTACTTTTATTTTTGTAATTTCATTTATCATATAATACTTATGAATTTTATTTAATTGATAATATGAACAATTGTACATCTCTTTCATTTTATTGGACTAGGAGCACAAGTTTGCGAGAATTGTCGGCAGCTATTATACTTGTATGGACTGTGCGAAGCAACACTAACCCCAGCTGTAACACCTAATAAAATGTAGATGTGAATCCAAGGTTTCCTTACCATTTTCTGTCACTTTCATGCATTCCAGTCTTAAATCATTCCATCAACCACAAGAACACTCACAATTTTATTCATGTGAGTCATGAAATGCCAAGAATAAAAAGAGAACAAAGAACATGCCCTTGCTGTATCATTGTATAATATTCGGATTAGTTTCCAAAACACTTGAAAACTTTAAGAAAGGAGAAAAGGAGGTGAAACTCCGCAAAAGGATAAGTCAAATGACGAAAATCTCCATCTATTAGTGATGCTTTACAGCAAGTAAAATCATTGACTACAGCTAAAAGTAAAATCCATCTATTAGTCAAGACTCCATACCTGTTAATAGAATCCCAACAGAGATTACCAAGATAATACCTAAAAGTTTAAGGCTTGGAGACTCCAACCTATCAAACATACATTCAACGTTAGTATCAAAACAAGAAGGGGCATGAGAAAGAAGACAGTCAATTCTCATAAAATACCAAAAAAAACAAAAGCAGCAGCAGTGAGAGCAACAGGTGTCTGAAGACAACTTGCTACAAAAACTAATTGTTATTGAGAAAACTGCTTGTAAAATAAATTTACCAATTTTTTAGGGTGAAGAAAAGCATCTAATACAACAATTATATGGTAATAGCTTCAAAACTTAATATAAAATAGGTGAGTAATGCCCTTATAATGACCCTTTGTAAAAAATAACTTTTGATCCCAAACTTACGATGCATAAGGTTGGAGAACTTCTGAGAAGAAAACTTTACAAATGAAAGGGTCATGCATGAGTCATAATCCTAAAACATATATCACAATCCTAAACCATGCCAATTCCCATCTCAGCATTCACCTCATGTCTAACGACGCAATCACAGATCTAATAACACGGCTCAAGAAGAACAGGAAAAAAGATACATTCCCTAATCTTGATGACTAAAGAACAAGAAAATCTACTCCTAACCCTACAAATTCTTGTCATTTGATGATTAAATATTAAACTGCATCAGTTGGTCAACATTTGAAACAAGCAACGTCTCCTATATCTTTCCACCAAAATTTCCCAATAACCAACCAAAGTTAAAAAGAATGCAGACTACCATATTCCTAACCAAAACCACACCAAGTAAAAATACTTCCAAAAAGAAAAGGAAAATGGGGTAAAGACGAGGCTTGGGTTAGCATCTTTTTTTGCTGTAGGGGTTCTTTTGGGAGGATTATGGTGCAAGGAAGAAAGAGGGGAAAGGAGAAGGCCACTGGCTACCACGGTGGCATAGGGCCAAAGAAGAGGAGGAAGAAGAGAGGCAGAAAAAGAAAGGGAAAAAAGGGAAGATGAACCAATTAAAAGGTAGAGGAGAGTGTGCAAAAAGAAGAAATCTTGGTCGGCGACGGCGACGGCAAAATCCAATGATCTTGACTAGATCTAGGATCTTTTTGCAAAAAAGAAAAGGAGGGAAAAAGGAGAACTAAACCGATTAAAGGGTAAAGGAGGTTGAAAAGAGGAGAGAAAGCTGATTTTGATACTGACAGTCTGCCAACAGATGATGGTGACAGACAGATGCTAGGTTCAGAGACAGAAAGTGACTATTGGTGTATGGAGAGAAGGAAAGATAGAAAATGGGGGGGGGGGGGGAAGGTTTTCATAAATGGTCAATTCCATGTCAGCATATTCAAATTGCCACATTAGCCTAGTCCATGCCACATTAGCCTAGTCCATGCCACATCAGCTTTGGTCAATACCACATCATCTTGGTCAAATGCCACACCAACAACTCAATGGACGAATGTTAACAGTGTTAACGATTGGATTGAGATTAACAAATCTTGAAAGTACAAGGACTCCATCTATACAAAGTACAAGAGGGACTAAATCCACCACTTTGGTAAAGTAAAAGGATTATTTACATAATTTGACCAAGAAAAGAAAAAGGTTGAACTTTTCCAGGGAACTATTACGAGTTGTCCTAGTCTAGTCCCTAGGCTCAAGTGTAGTTAATCTTATAATAAAATATCACGGATGGGTTGAGTTACCAAATAGATATGCCCCATTCTCATCCCTGACAAGTATAAAAACAACCAAAAGCTCTATAATATGATCAAGATACATCAATAAAACAAACAATTTTTTTTAAAAATAAAATCAAACTTTTTAAGAGTAGTTTAGTATAAAAAGTGAGTAGAAAATGAATTAAAGTAACTATCTGACATTTGCCTAATAAAAAAAACTATAAAATCAACAAGACAATTGCCCTTTCAATCAATAAATTTGAACCCAAGCTCTATCCTAGTCCCATCAACAATTTGGTTAACACTAGAGCTAATAATAAAGGCCCAATAAATCATTCATTCAACAACTTGAGGGTAGACACAATTACTAAGTTAAACTAAGTTGTGGAAGATATTATCAGGCCAGTAACTTCCTATTGTGGATGCACTCACCGGTATTTGGTGTAGATCATAAAAATATGGTTTTGAATTTTCAGCATCTATTATGATTTCTTTAGATCTTTCAGGTGACATAGCCCTTGACCATGCAAAATGGATAAGACAGATTCAAGTAGCCAACCCCAACTATTTTGGAATTAGGGCTAATTCACTTCAGCTGAGATCTTATTGGTGCTAATTCTAATGCAAAATTTAGTCAATTGATTGACAATATCAGTCGCATACATCCATCTCATGATCCTCCAATCGATCATGAAGGAAAAGGAAGCGATAGATAACCCATCCAGCATACTAAACATAATTAACCACACCAGATAGTTCAACATGAACCTCAAGAACTAGCCCTAGGGTGGTGAACCCCTAATCCTTTTAGGGAAAAACCTTTAAAGGAAAAATCATGTAGTCAAACTCTTTCAAACAAGCCAAGCTATTATAGTTTTTCAAAACCAGCCAGGTATCTAACATTGAAAATATTGCCTTCCAGAGGTAACCGATGCAAGTCAAGGTATGAAGATGGGAGAGCAATAGTCCAATCCAACACAGGAATCAGTTGGAACCAACCTTGTGGGCTGATTTCAGAAAATTGTTTTAAAGCAAAGTCTAATCACTCTTGAGGTAAGGTTCTCATAGATTTAGTTGCTAAGGAACCAACCCAGCAGACTAAGCATGATATTTTTTTCTTTTAACAACAGTTTGATTTAGTAGGTATGTAGGTATATGTATGTATGGGGAGGGTTGAACTTAGAAGCTTCCCCCTTGAAACTTGCCTTTGGCAGTTCAAAGCCCAGATTTGTTTTAAGAACATTGCCATTGACATTAGATCATCAGGAATTAATTTAAGATTATTCTTCAAGCACACAATCCTGTCGAGTGCTTCATCCAACACTCATTGTTTCTGAAGTATTGCTATTGCCATGAGAAAAAGAAAAAGCATTTAAGGAAAACAAGTGAAGTAACTAAGTAGCTATCATCTAAAAGATACTCTAAAAATGCATGGCTTCAAGCTTGTAAAATGCATAAGCTACCAAGTTACTTAGTCCCTACATCTACAAAGGGAGCTTCATCCCAACATTTGAAGACCACCTAAAGTCTAAACAGTATAGCACTATCCAAACATGGAGAATGAACATGAAAATCAATTGCAGAAAACTGACCTGAATGCAAAAGCGAATAGGAGAAGAAATATAGGAGCTGCAGATTTACACTGCAAGGTACATAAGAAAAATGGTTCAGTCAACTACACAACATATTCACAGAGTAAGAGGGGGAATTTCATCTAAAAGAGACTAAACACTCATCATAACTGAGTATAGAGAAGTTAACAAACCATTGTGGCAAAAGTAACAGATATGAAAACCAGGGATGCATTGCTCAAGTTAACGTCCAGTGCCGTTGAAAGAGCCGTAGGTACAACTGTTAAAGGCAAAGTCCATCTGTACATTAGTTGATAGAAAAGTTAATAAAATAAGTTACAAAGAAATGCATGGTGTTGGAAAAGGCATAGTAGGACAGAATACTAGTATTTTAAAACTCTAAATCTGAGTGCAAACATGCATTTAGGTTTGAGCTAGCGATGTAATATCAAAAATAAAGTTTACAAATTTATTTCCATGGACCAAATGCAAGCACCAAATTCGCATGATAGGAAGGCAAAAAACAAAGGACATATATTTGATGAATTTACCTCTATAGAAGTAATCCCTCCATGACATTGCAACAGTAGGCTGATATCTATGAGACCAATACCATGTGATTGCCTTTGATAAAACAGCTTGCATTGTGAAGTGGACAGTATTCATCAACAAGGGAGCTGGAAACTTCCCTAAGTCATCTCCCAACAAGGTTTTATTGTACCTACTCAAAGCAAAATATAATAAGAGGAAAAATGTACAGGCTTCTAAAAATAAGGTCTTAAATTAAGCTACCATGCTGCTGTGACTAATTCAAGATAGACTTACAAGGTCAAAAATGTGCTGAAAGTGTACCATACAAGTATAAAGAACAGTGTCTTCAACACATCCGCAGCAGAAACAGAGCTCTTGGAATTTGGTGTCAGTGCTTTCCAATTACCAGTAGAATTGGCTCCATCATCAGCATTACTTGATAATCTTAAATCCTCAGAAGACCCATTTTCAATATCAAAAGGTGCATATTTCCCATTTCTATCTCCCCCATGCATATCTTCCATGGTAATACCACCATTCAAGTGCATACTTTGCTCTGAAAATTTACTGTATCTGACCCTGTTTTCTAACTCACTCTGATTAAGCATAGGCAACTCAAATTCAGAGTCTTCTAGACTTGCATCAGTAGTCTCAAAACGGTGTTCCAAATGGATTGTCCCATCTTCATCGACCCAGCGAGAGAAGGATGGTTCCCTGCGAAGACCTGAAGCTTGATTTCCACTCTGAGTATCAGCTGTCTCTGTGCATCCAACTGTTTCTTTATTCAAATTACTCTCTACCATCTCCTTTATTATTATAAGTTAAAGCCATCTATACACCGGATGGGAAAACAATTTGCCAATGGTCACTTAGCACCTTTTTTTCCATCAATATATGCAAATAGTATATTAATTTGCTGAGGTTTACCACGTGAAACTATTATGTGAACAATATTTTGGGCACCATATGAACTAAGAATTGACTGAGGACATTAAAAGGGCTTTTGCCACTCTACTTAATTTAGATCATTCAAAAGAACCCGGATGCCACCTGTTACAATCAAATATAAGACCAAAGGCGGTCAAAATTGAGTATAATACAACTTCATTTAAAAGCAAAAGGTTGGAAAATATGAAAAAACCGAGAGCAATTCATTACCATTGTCAACAGCCAGGCATTATGTTTCAAAATTACAAATTGATATTTTACTCAGTTGTTCCACTTATAAAACACAGCATTAAATCAACTCATTCGAACAAATCAACCCCCACCCCAACAAAAAATAAATAAATAAATAAAGCCTCCCCCATCTCGCGAGATTACCCAGTATAATAACATTCGAAATTAAGGAAAAAAGGCTAAAAGAAACAAACTAGAAACTTGAATCAGAAAAATATATATAGAGCAGCTGAATCAGACCAATAAGAAGATCAATAAAATTCAACAACGACATTAAAAAACATACAACTTAAATTTTTTTTATAAAAAAAAAAAAGGAAAAGACATTGAACTGACCTGGTCAAGTTTCGATGAGATCCAAAGCGGTGAAGAAGAATGAGAGACAGAGAGAGATAACTTAAAATTTTAAAAAAAGAAAAAGAAAAATGAGAGATCTGATCTGGTAATGGATTATGGAATATTAATGTGAATGTTGGTGAGAAGTCATTGGGAGCGTACGTTTGGGCGTTGTTGTCTGTTGCTGTTGTTCTTCGTTTGTCTCTAAAGCGTAGATTCAAAGACACATGTTTTTCTTTTTCTTTTATCCTCCCGTCCTTCTTTATTGGTTTGCTCCATTATGAGCGTTTGCCACCCCCACCTCCAAAAGCAATCGTAGGTTTAGATTTTCTCCTATTAGATATACTTAAACTAGCTTAATACCAATAGCAACATAAAATTTTTTTATCAAATAAATTTAAGAGATTATTGGTATAATTAGTTTTCTATTTGTTTCAAATTTAACATCAAATGTCATTTGTTTCAAATTCTTTTCTTTCTCAAGAGTCAAGGGTCAATCAATGTTTATCAAAATTTTTATTTCAAGATTTAACTTATTCCTTTATTTAAAATTAAAATTATTTTATTTAAATTAAAATGTAATCTTTTGAATTTTATACCTTTAAGGAAAATTTAATAATAAAAGTTAGCAGATACAATTAATATGACTAAAAATTGTTAGGTGAAGGTAATTCTTAATAAATGTATATTTTTTAATTCCTTAATTCTATTATTGGTGATTTATTAAATTTTTTAAAATAGATAAAATCAATAATAATTATTTTTTACCGTATTTTCACAACAATTCCCAATTGAATTACTACTTTAGACCGCAAAGTCTCTCCCTCTTTTTCCCTTTGAATAATAATTTTGTTTTCTTACCTTGGTCGCATTCGCCGGCCATTTGTTTCAATACCATTTGCCTCAAACATCATATTCGATAACCCTAATAAAATCATAGATCATGAGAGGAAATAAATGTACATCAATGGTTATTTTTTATTTGTTTATAATAATAGTCTAGGGATGGAAAAATTAATTCAAAAGATATAAGCTTGCACAATTAGCTTGATTTTTGATGATTTTTTTAAAAAAAGTGATTTTTAATGATTAATAATGCCTTAAAATAATTAAGAAAGTACAATCATAATTAAATGTACTGAAATTTTTAATAATACATATAAAGTTTATACTTGATGCATTCATAGTGTATACTATACTTTAGAATCATGTTTTAATTGAAATTTTACATTTTTGTCAAACCTACTCATAACCAAATAAAGAAGAAGAAGAGATTTGATGAGAGGGAATTAGAGAGATATTAAAGAAGAAAAGAAGAAAAAAGAACGGTTAAAAGAGAGTTGGAAAGACAAAAAAATATTATTTTATTTTTTATGTATTTTTTAAGATAATTATTAATATTTAATTTTAAATTTTTAAAAATTTTACATTTTATAAAAAAGTAACATCATTTGATAGTATGACAGTGTATAGAAACTATATGTTATTTGTGTATCAAATATAAAATCATATATTAGTTTAACAAGGTTGAATCTCATTATTAAAATTTCCCAACAACTAAAAAATTCATGAAAAAAAATTGTAATAGCTATATTGTGAATAAAATAGAGTTCATAATATTTATAGTTTTTTTCCCTTTTATCAAATTAAAAATGTTATAATATTTTTTATAAAAAAAAGTTAATATTATAAACACTACTTTAAGTTTTTTTTAAAAATAAATTAATCCTACAAAAGTCACTCCGAAATATGGTTGTTGTGTTCTATATAAGTATCATTGTATCATGAAGTTAACGATGCTACTTATGACTTTAATTTATTAACAATAATTATGCGATTATAATTTTTAAAAGAAAAACTATAAAAATAAAATTGAAATTAGTAGAAGGAATATACTTTAATTAAATTTTTTTATAATTAAAAAAAAATCTGATCTACTTGATATCCTGTATGTAGCTCTAATGACGTTTTATATTCTAATTACATGGTAGGAAGATAAATAATTTATAGGATACATATTAATTAGAGAAAAATAAAAAGAAAATTGATGAACAGTTTTTTGCGCTGGGCAATTTTAATATTTATAACTATATTTGAAAGAATGCGCTTCCTTATTTGACCCTTGGTTAAGTGAGTCTGTCTAACCAGTATTATTATAAACCATGATGTAATTATAATAATGGTTAAGGAAAGAGAGTCAGGATAACGTCAGCATTGGCCATTGCCACTCTCTCAATTTCAATTCAACTTTCCAATTTTGTATTTTTCTCTCTCCATATTTTCTTTTCCCTTTTCCAACAACCAATTTAAATCTAATCACATTTGCATAAAATTTATTACAATGACTAATATTTTAAAATTTTAACATTTTAAAAGATTGAAAATAAATTCCAAATCCAAGACTAAATTACTTTGTGAGAGTTTCATTTTTAAGTAAAATGATATCTATACTGATTTAATTATTTGACAAAACTAATTGCTTTATCAATCTTATTTCATAAATTTATTAATAATATGAAAAAATTTCTAACAACCAAATAAATAAAATTAACTAAATTCAAAAGATGAACTTGCTTACTTGCATGTCAGTATTTTTTTATGATAGTCATATAAAGGTATACGATTTTTACAAAATTTTCAAAATAAGTGTTTTCAAAGTCTTTTACTTCATTCAACAGCTGAAAAATACATTTTTTATTAAATACATAAAATTTGACATTATTGAAATATCCCATTTTAAGTCTATCCTATCGTCTAAAATTTATGAGCATAAACAAGAGAAAAAAGTTAAGAGAAAAATAGTAATAAAAAAAAAGTAAATAACGAATTATACAATTTTAAATCACTAAATCAACTTGATTATAAAAAAAAAATACTTACGTGCATGTGGGCGTCCTATTTAAGCCAATAAACAATTTCAGATAAAATTTTTACAGCAATTGCGAATTGAAAATTATAAATAATAAAAAAAAGTTCATTATTTTTAAAAGAAGTCTTAGAGGGTTTTTGGCTTGACACTTGACAAGGTTTTTGATTTGACACGTGATTATTGGAACATCAGCTTGAGCTTTTGAATTTTGAACGTGACCTTGAAGTCTAAGGTTGGAGTTGGATTACATTTTTTTTCTCTCACGGTTAATGTTCTAGATATAAAAAATAATTTTTCTTTAAGTGTAAAGGGTTAGTTACCTAAAAATAGAGTTTTAAAAGATATTGAGTTATTATATATTTTATTTTTTACGTATTAAATTTAATTAAAGTAAAGTGATGCATATAAACTAGTTAAAAATAGAGTTTGAGAGAATTTTGAAAGAGATCCAGTTACTATATATTTTATTTTTTTAAGTATTAAATGTAATTAATGTAAAATGGTGCATATTAGTTACCTAAAATTTTGAGAGAGATTGAATTAATACATATTTTATTTTTTAATGTTAAATGTAATTAATGAAAAGTGATACACATCAATGGTAGAATTTCAATGAAAATTAAGTTAGTACTTATTCTACCGTAAATCTGAAAATTTTATTTAAAATTTTGTTTTATCGTGAAACTTATTTATAGGTGTACTTTTGTATAAAAGTACTACCACAAATACAATAATGATTATTACAATAACAATAATTATATATTTTATAAAATAATATTTTATACATATTAATATACATCAACAAGTAAATATAATAATATAATTATTAATATATATTTATTTTACAAAATATTCTCAACTTAATTTTTTAAAAAAATTTACTTTCCTAAACATATTGCACGACTAGCATACAAGTCCTTTAAGGAAAGTGACCTCTGTTTCCGCAAGCAACCAAATCCTCTCACAATCGGGACTTGGATACGGGGAAGAATATCTATATATAAGAGCGCGTACCGTCTTTTCTAAAGGTTTCCTTCAAGTAAACACACCCGTTGTTGCAGAGTCTTTCTCTTCAAGTAAACAAACGTTGATCTCCATCATCGCTTTGCCCTTTTTCTGCGAAAAGAAGAGAGTGTTGATCATGGCAAGAAGAGAAGCAAGGTTCACATGCTGTGTGAAGTTAGAGCGCGAATTCACCGTCATTCCCCACCTTTTGCAAGCCGGTTTTCGTCTTCAAATCCGTAAGTTCCTTAAAGATGATAATGGCAATGTGCAAGAGGCTCTGGAGGAGTCATCCCAGGAAAAATTTTTTCTGCCAGAATTTGCGTTTGGTTGCAATGGACACCACATATTGGTAACTTATCGTCTACGTGAAGCTGGATGGCATCAGAGCAATCTTCAAAGGATCTTGGACGCAGCTTTCTCCGAGGCCAAGTTGATTTTAGAAAGAGAGAGAAGTACTTGTGGAATACACATCGTTCCAACAATAGTATTCTGCGTCAACAAGTTCGTGAGGTGGGAAGATGAGTTAGAGGCTAGGGCACTGGAGTTGTCAATGCAAGAAGTACCAAAGACGGTTCCTGCAACAAAAGAATCCATCCAGGCTTTGAAGAAAGTGAAGCTTGAAGGTGATAATACTGAAAAGTGCATGATCTGTATGGAGCAACTGATCTCCTCCGGAACAGATAAGATGATCACTAGCATGCCCTGTTCGCATCTCTTCCATGGAGATTGCATCGAGAAATGGCTGAATACGAGTCATAAGTGCCCATTATGCCGCTTTCCGATGCCAACTGATGGCTGATGCTAGTCCTTAGTCCGTACTGGAAAGAATTGGGCCATACTTTTTAAGTTGTATCTCTAATTAGCTGTCCATCTCTTTTCTTCTTATTTTGTACTTAAGTCTTAATCAAGGTATTAATCTTTGTTTTCCGGCCGTACATGTAAATCTTGTGACTGACATTCAATGAGAGCATGGGGTTGGGGTGTCACAGCAATATTCAATAAAGTAAATCCCACCAATATTTCCTAATCTTTTATCTGTATTCCACATTAGCCCTTAATCTCTAAATTATTTTATTTGGCTCCTCATGTTTTTCTTTTAAATAAATATCCATTTTCATCCTTTCTTCAAATTGTTAGTAATATTCATGTATTGGTCAAAACTTTACAACCATGCTGCCATGATTTCTTGCTCACATACTTAATTTGCATTGCTAAGCATCACTTAAGTCTTATAAACTGATAAAATTCCAAAGTTGTTAATTTTGCCTTGAACTGGAATACGTAACAACAACATGAAATCCTTGAATAACAACACAATCTGATTAGATAGCTTTGAATTACGCAGTCTAGTGGCCCCTTCAATTTTGTACTTGTTGGTTGATCCTTGCCAAATATTAATTTGATGTTTGTGATAAATGCTGTTAGAAAGGTTTCCTTTTTCAATAACTAAATCCTGTTCTGCATTTCAATATCAGTTAAATTCCCACATCATAGAGCTACTTCAAGATTAGGAACAAAGTTATCCAGTAAAAAGGAAAACTGCTAAATAAATTTAAAAAAAAAAGAATATAGATAAAGGTACATAAAGAGATAGTCCTAAAACCTAATACCTGTACATCATATGCCTACAAAGTTCAATAAATATATATGATAGCTCAGATCTGACTAGCAGCATGCATCTCATGTCTGCACTAAAACAATGTGATGAAGCAAAATTCAATGAATTACAAGCCCAGAGTAGCTGCTCCTTTTCTCTAAGTCAAGGAATCAAATAAAATCACATTCTTTCAGCCGGAGAAAGGTGTTCCATATGCTCTGCGAGGTAGTGTACACTGTTTGTTTTCCATCAATAATTTTGGTCATCAAGTGGCTAGCTACCACTTATTCTTCCACTTGTTGTCCCAGGGTCTGACTGGATCTCTTGTGCATCTAATGAATTGGGGACTTCTGTCAGGAACTGTTCCCAGAAGACATCATTTACCTTCCCTGGCACAGTCTCTGGAGGAGTAGCATGCTTTGAGGTTACACCAATTCCAAAAGATTTTGGGTTACGATTGGCAATATGGTGAAAAGATGGTGTAGGGGGACTGTCAGCTTTATAAACAGACACAGCCAGCTCAGGAGATGAATTTATATCTGTTGAATGAGGAGAGCATGGATGGGATGAAGGTGAGCAAAGTTCACCGTCAACGTCATAGTCTCCAGAAGATGTCTGCAGTTCAGTGACATCAATTGGAGAAGGCCGTGATGATATGCCAAAATCATACACTTTCTCATCCATAGTTTCTCCAATTCCGTGGAACAATGTTTCCAAACATTTTATAGATGAATCCAACTTCTCAATCTGTTCTAAATTCAATACAGGAGCAGAAGGTGCTCCCAGGTTTGCATCCTGAGAAGTCAAACTGTGATGTTCTACTGTGTTATATCCATCAATGAAGTGATTCAAATTCAACAACTTTCTCTTTTTGTTATGCAATTCGGCCTTTTGGTTGAAGATAGAGACCAAATGTGGTTTGTGTATCAGTTGACCCAAGAAGACCATTGCCCGCCTCTGTCTGTTTTCCATATTCTGGAAGCGCTCAGATAACAACCTTATTTGAAACTCAAATTCCTGATTTTCTATCTGATGCCTTTGTAGCTGCAACTGAAGCCGACTCTTATCTTGACTTAATCTCTTTATTTCTTCTTCAAATTCTTTCTTTTCTATCTCAGTTAATGGTAAACCAGAGTTCCCTTGGTGTACCAAGGAATGGCTATGAATTGGCTTGCGTCTATGAATATTCTGTAGAAGATGTTTCTCTCCTCGGATAAATTCCTCGTTTGCAAACTCCCATTGATCAGGATCAATCTTCCTGAATCCCTAATCAAGAAAATAGTGCAGGTGTCAATCAAAGCATGAAAAGTCACCATAATATAGGGGAAGCATTAACTTTTAAAAGGCTAGAAAACAGGGCCAGGGCCTGCTTGTGCAATCCTGATATATCCTGCATTTCAATACCATGAAGGTTATGATTAATTGAAAACAGAAAAAAACTAAAAATTCATTATCAGATCAAATAAAAGCAATAGATTGCAGCTAGAGAATATATTGGGAAACAATCAAACAACTAGATCGCACAAGGAACAAACTTCTTGCAAAATGCTAACCAAGAAGAACCTATTTCTATTACATAAGTAGTTACACTGAGCATGGAAAAATATCCAGACAAGAACATTTCAACGCATTCAGTTGTAACCAACGCAATTAGAATCCAGGTCGAACAACAGAAATTTGCTAACATGTGTTTGTTTGTGCTACCATCCAAAAAAAATTTCTATAATGCTTCCAACAAGACATAGTATTATGAAGAAAAACATCATCAATGTTTATATTGATAGTATAGAAAACATATTTAGCAATGACAAATATGAATAAGAAGTTGAGCAAGTAAACAAATATGAACCCAAAAAGAAGAAATTTCTATATTGAGCGGATTTAAGGGAAACTAATTGGAGATTAAAAATGAGAAAAAAGAAAAGAAAAGAAAAGAAAAGCCATTTCCGAAGTGAAGAAGAAACATACATAAGTATTCAGCTGCCTGACAAAACTTGAGAAGTTATTGTGCTTGAAGTATCTTGGCAGCAAATCTCTTGAAAAATCTGGTGGATTCCATACAATGAAACTATAACCAGTTGCACTCCAACCCACCAAGGAGTTGGTCATTGGATCATCCACCATCTCATATGTCTTAGTAAGAAAAGGCGGCGGCGCATTAGAACTTCCCTGTGATTCATCCATTTCATTTAAACTCTTCAAAACCTTGAATTTCTAATCTCAAGTATTTGTAGCCAAAGCACCATATGCAAGCTTTTCTTAATCCAAAACTGAGCTTTTAAGAAATCGATATCCAAGCCGGATCACCCCAACTGAAAGTTGCTTTTTCAAGAAAACTATAACTAAAACCTCTAAACCCCAAAACCCTTGGATAGGAAACCAAAGAAAAGAAGAAAAGTGGAGGTTCCTTTATCCAGTGTGAAATTGTCAACAGGGCCGGATCAAAAGATCACAGAAGTCAGAGAAGAAACCAGTGGGAACAAAAGAGAAAAAATGAAAAATTCCCGGGAGCATAAGCTAGTGGGATATTGAAAAACATAACAAATTGAAGAAACAATCTCGTGTATAGAAGTTTCTAACCAATCCAAAAGCAAAACTTGGTGATAAAGCAAGAGAGGGAGGAGGGGTTTTTCAACCGGAGGGGCAGGGAGAGGGAAAGGACAGACTTAGAGGGAAACAAATGCAAAGAAATAAAAAGTCTTGTTAGACTTTTTGACTGAGTAACAACCATTTGAGAGAGGGAAAGCAACGTGCCTATGTAACGTTCAAAGCTTTTTCATGAGACTTTTATAGCGTGTCTTTGGTCGTCCATCCCTCGTGGGTCTTTGTTGTTATGGTCGTTTTGAATATTCTTAGGGGCAGAGGGCATGGCGCAGACCAAACAGGGCAAGGGAGTTTTTTTTTTTTTACCTTGTTTTAATTGTTGAAAATTCGAGTGGAATGAGGAGAAAAGAAGACTTCTTTGACTGCAGCCATCGTCCCCCTGGAGCAGCTCTGACTTTGACCACTGGGAGAAGAAAAAAATCTAATGTTTCAAAAACCTCCACGTTTTCATAGTCAGAATTAGACAATTAGTGATAACCATTGTTTCTCATGGTTCTTGTTTTTATCCATAAACAGTTCCTCTTTTGAAGAAATAAGGTTCTAGATTCCATTATTTGTCAGAATTATGCGCACACCTACTGAAGCAACTACACAACAGCAATAACAAAAAGCCAGAAACCATACCAAAACACAGCAGCCAGCACAAGCTGCAAACAACCATAGCAGTATTATAATAAGGAAGCTGCAGCAGCAACATTGGCAATAGCAAGCAGCAGCAACAGCAGCATTAACAATCAAGCAGTTGATTTATTAATACAAATCTAGTCAGAAGATTTGAGACAAACAAACAAGATATATTTTAGACATGTACTCTTTTTTTCAGCCAAAATAAGTTTTTGTTTTTTTATATAAATCACTAGGTTACTGTGAATGGCAGTCATAAGATTATCCACCAAAATGAATGCCTGACTTACAATAATTGCACAAAGCACCACCTAGATACAGTACTTAAGGAATTATTAAGCTATGATTTAGGGATTGTCATAAATTATAGTTAAGGGATTCATTTAGATTTTATACCGTTGTTTGTATTAATGTGTATTATCATTAGAAAGTTTCGTTTCATGAAACTTTCAAACAACCATGTAAGTGTAACTAGTATATAAATACAAGTGAACATAACTGTCTTCTCTTCACCAGGCTCCAAATAGAACAGTAACAAGTTCTCTCATTATTTCTTCTGTTTTCAATATTTCATCGATACCTATCATCCTGTCTCATATGATTAATATAATCCTATAACTTTTCACTGGATAGGATTGAGTCTTCTATGCTAGGTAGACACCATATCCCTTTAAAAGTGAAAATCAAACATGAGATAATGTGATTTTAATATATATATATATATATATATATATAACACAAGAAAGGAGGAAAGGGTCGATAGCTTTATGCAGATTGCCCGAACCAAATCTGAAACTAAAATACAAAAAGTTATTAAGCCAAAGTTTCGTTTGATATGAAATTAAAATTCAATCAAAATGTTTATATATATATTATAAAAAGTTATAAAAAATTATTTGATGTTCGAGCATTTGGCTCAATGATTAAGACATATTTCTTTTAATTAATTTAAAAAATTAAATTGCAATCCCCTTTTTTAGATTTAACAAAAAAAACTATTTAACACCCAAATATTTGGTTTTTTTGATAAATGCTTATATCTTTTCTAAATAATGACAATTCATGGTTTTATTTATTTAGTAATACTTGAAAAGTGTGTGAAGGCAATTTGGTGCTGTGATTCTTTCCACAAGCACCTCGAAGCATTTTTTGATAAATACTGTTTACAAAACCTCATGAAACGTCCCTCACTTTCAATTTCATTCTTTTCCTAAGCAAAAGATTCCTTTTTCTTCGGTCTTTTCTTTTCTTTCCCTGGTGAATTTGTTGCTTTGTTTCTACCTTAGTTCAGGATTAATGACTAACCTAACTAATTTGATTAAGTGCCTACAAATTAGGTCACAATTTAATAGCATTAGCTACCACAGGGCTATGAGTAGGGTTTTGCTACCCATTTTATAATATCATTACTTAAACCCAATTATAAATAATTAAAATTATATTATTAATTTCAAGTTTGCTTTTTTTTTGGTTTTTAAATTACTTATAGTTTATGATTTTATCAACTAGAATTTATAAACTTTTTGAGATGTTTTCCTATTTTAGTTGATTGATTTTTAACTTTTAGTAATAAAGTCACGATTTTATAATTAGCGTTTTACATAATATTATATTTGTTGAGAATTGTTTGTTTGTAATTTAATTCCATTCTATGAAGGTAAGTGTAATTAAAAAAACAGTAACAAAAACATAACTATTATCCTTGAATTCATGGTGGTACCAACGTCATCCCCAATGATTCGGACTCACCACAATCATTTTGGTGGGGGCCACGCTACGCCAATTGGGTCAACATACTCAAATGAAAACTAAAATCATTAAGTTCGCGAAGATTTTTTTATCAAAAATAATTTTAAAACAAAAATCAATTATGAAAATTAAAATCGATAAATTGATAAAATTTAATAAAAAATAATATATAATAGTAAATGTTAATTAAATTTTCTATAGATTCATAAAATGTGATCACTACAAATTGAATAGCGAAAATTCTATCATAATTATTAATAACAATAAATATTCACATAAACCATCAAAATTTATGTATTCATTTATTTTTCAATTTTTGTACACTTAACCTATATAACAAGAACTTTCAATTTATCGTTTCAGATGTTTTATTTTAATTTTTATTTAATTATTTTTAATAAAAAAATTCAAGAACTTAATTTTATGAAAATTAGGTAAATCATGTCTTATGAAGATGAAAAAGAAAAAAAGGAAAAATTAACAAGTTTTGAAATCGGAAAAACTTTTTGTATAGTGTAAAAACTAAACATGGTTGATTTAAGGAAGATTTTGTATCACTACTTTATAGAATTAAAATTAGAAGGGACAAAAGTAATTACAAATTTAAAATTTTACATGAGAGATGATTAAAAGATAATTATAAAAATTATCATGTTTTAAAAAATATAAAAATAATCATATTATATATATATATGTAAAGTTTTATATATAATTACATTTGAAGATTTGATTTATTAATTAATGTATAATTTTTTTGTTTAAAGAATAAAATTTAAATTTTTTTAATTTTAAATTATATATAATAATAAAAGAATTAAAAATTAAAAAATGATAGGCTGCCACCTTCCATTACTCCCTGGGGTTCCGTCCGGGAAGAGAAGGCAATGCAGGTGAACACAATAAGCAAGAATGTGAGTCTGGAGAGTGAGTAATTCTATGTTCCTTTGTTGGCGGTAGCTTGTCTTTTGTGTTATGCAATGAGCGGCATATTTTACTTATCCAAAGGTATCTCCGACTGATATTTTATTATGTCATCAACGTGGCATCTGTTTCTGTTAGATATTTCCCATCCCAAAATATCTCCTTCTCACTGGGATTACACAAGCCAAGCTTAAAAATCCTCAAATTCGACAAGAAGTGCAAGCTATCCAACCTAACTCTCTTGGCAGTTGATACCTTTGGAACACTGAAAATGGAAAGTGAAGTTGCTAGACGCAGAATCAGCACCATTGCAAGCCACTTTTCACCCAATGAGGATATTTTATCTGCCACCCACCTTCTCCCCATGGTAAAACTTTTCCATTTCTCTATCATCATCATTTTTTAAAGCAACTAGTGTTATTATCTAGGCATGCAGCAAAGCATTGGCTTAGCTATTTACTGCTTTTGCTATTCTGAATTGAACTTCAATTTGAAACTTTTTATTCTTCAATTACAATAATTAACTTGACTGTCTATCTGCCTTTAAGGACTAAAGCACAATATGTTGACTAAGGAATAGCCAACACTCAAGACCTTTTTTTGCTTATGGTATCATGGGTTTATCTTATATATGGAAACAAGTGTGCCATTTGAGTGTGTAAGTGATCATTTAAAACCTTTGTTAATTAAACTTATCAAAATCAGTCATCAGCTGTAATTTGTAAAGAAGCAATTGGGATTAATTGAGAGCTGACTTGATTCATATTTACTTGATTGGAGAAAT